TCCTCAACAACCAGTATGTGCAATATGTATCCCTTCTCGTTTCAAGAAGTATTTGGACTGGAGCCATACAGAAGAGAAAACTGAAATTGGGTTAAAGAACTGGGCTTTCAACCCAGACCTCTTAGCTTTTACTACTATTAGAACGTCGTACCATGTCAACTGTCTTCTAGTATTGCAGCGTTTTGTGTTTCCCTGTCTCCCTGTTGAAGGTGTTACCAGAGAAGATATCAAGACATATTTTGGAGGCCTCTTGAAATTTCATTATGATGATGATGATGGTAGTGTAAAATCTGAAGCAAATTTATCAGGAGGACATTGTAAAAGATTTGGAACTGGCAAAATCGTTAAGTGTTTAGCAATAGGTCTCCCAAAAAGAGAAGCCAGATTTCCCTTTGGACATATAATCAGGGCATGGAAGGTTTATTTTTTCCTTGATTCCATTTATTTTTTCCTTGATTCCATTTCAGTCAATGGTCATGCTGTGTGTATGCTAAATGCCTCAAACCAATGTCTTGTAGTAGTTCTAATTTGAGTCCACTGTGGACTGAAATCATCTTAGAAATACTTGACTTTGTCTGGGGCACCCTCCTAGATTTTAAGCATTAGACAAAGACTCAAGTAAGAACTACGATGAAAGAAATGTGTACATTGAATCTGGAAAGTGGGCTGTTGGAATGAGTGCCCATCAGGTTACAGTCCAGCGGGAGACAGTGAGTCTGCTGAGAGAGGAGACTATGGGTACCAAGTCCAGGCTCAAAGAACAGTTATTAGAGAAGAATTGTACAAAAGAATATTTTGTGGCATTTCCTGAACAAGTCAGTATGAGTGTTCATGTATTCATTCACTTATTCATTCATCAAACAAACATCAAGTATTTTATTTTTCAGATGGGAGACACAGAAGGTACAGGGAGGATGAAAGAGTTTACAGTGAAGGGGGTGAAGTCCGGGATACTAAACAGGTGCAAGCTACTCCCATTGCATTAGGTTACTCATGCCTCAGGACCTTCTGTCACATTGCTTCCTCTCTCTGATGTCCTTCTATCCTCTCTCCGTCTATACTCACTCATTTTTCTAGACAGCTCACCTTTCTCCTGACTCCCCCCCACTCCTTATATATCTGACCACTTCTTTCTCTGTGTCCCCTCCGAGCCCTGTAGTAACATCTATAA